CAATATGATAGCAATAAACCAAAACAGCTGCAGGAATATAACACCCTCCTCCAGGCTTCACGGGAGAATAACATACAGACTTTGCTAGGGAAGATAATTCCACATCGTCTAGTCTTCAACTGGGGATTCTGTACTGCCTTTACTAGGGAAAATGAAACCGCGCACGCCGAGGGGGGTCCAACTACATTATTTACTATCAAGAGTAGTGGTTGCACAAACTTCTATGTGGAGAATTTACAAAACTTCCCAAGGATAACAACTTTAGAAGGAAGCATCATCTTCGCTTCACCCGGGGAATTGGGAGTTAACAACACAACAAGAAGTCAAAATTATGGGGATTTTAAATCAAACTCAACACTTGGTGAGAGAAAACCCAAAAAGTTAACAGTTTTTCAATACTTCTTAGAAAAGATAATGCCCTTGTCTGGCTACTCGGGAAGCAAACAACAACAACAATGTCATAACTGGAGAGAATGATGCTTCGCAAGAAATTTTACATCCATTCCTAACACACAAAGGGAGAAAGAACTCCATCAAGTGAGCAAAAGATATATAACTTTGCAATCTCTGCCTGATCACCACCTGGCTAGGGGAAAGAATCACACTCAGCTAGAGAAACCTGAATCAAGACTTAGCTGGGGAATATGGGAGAGAGGTATCAAACCACACAAACCCAACACCATTTAACAACTTGAAGAAAATATGAACCAATACTTAACTGGGGAAAATGGGATTACAAACCCAACACCACACCATATATTAACTAGTACGAAATCCATGAATCCAAAAAAAAAAACACAAGTGGATTACGCGCATATCAGCAAGAGTAACTCGAGATACTTCTTGGGGAGAAATTATGAAACTTCATAGTTTGTCCACCCTTGGACCCACTACTTTTGTTCCACTTGAATCACAAAATTGAGGTAAAAAGTAATTTGCAAATTCTTTTCAAAAACATGTTTTTATTATTAAGTCTTTTTGTTTGGAAAATTACTATCAATAATAAATGAAACTTTTGTAAACGAAATAAAATAAGAACTACAAAGAATTGCAAAAGGCTTAAACTTTATTAATAGAATGGTAGTCAGCGAATAGCGAGACTCTATAGATGATTACAAAGTTTTTGGAAAATGGTAAATACGTGGAAAAGATACATTGAAATACAATGACCACTATTCTCCCTAACAACTTTGAACTCCTAAGAAAAGGCTTTAGTTGAAGTATGGTGAGAACCCGAGAAGATTATTGCTTCAATGATCAAGTCTTGTCTGACGCGGTTACTTGCTAGGAAATGCATACCTTTTTCCTAGGTTGCCCTTGCGGGTTTTCAACCTACCAGGAAAATTTATTCTGTTTGTGTCTCTAACTTTTGGCTAGACCATCCTTTTGGGTTTTCAGCCTACTGAGACGCTCTTTTCTTCCTAAGCCACCCTTTTAGGTTTTCAACCTAGCGAATTATTCTTTTATTTATTTAGGCGAAGTATTTCTTGACTGCGTCAGTATTCATGGGACGTGGGAACTCCTCCACATCCATAGTTTCAAGAATCAATGCACCACCAAAGAAGGCTTTCTTGACAACATATAGGACTTCATAATTGGGAGTCCACTTTATCATAGAATTAACGTTAAAAGACATGATTTTTTTGAGCACGAGGTCGCCTTCTCGGAATTCACGAGGCTTAACCTTCTTATCAAAAGTTTTCTTCATTCTTTTATGATATAAGTGACCATGACACAAGGCCATCATTCTCTTCTTTTCAATTAAATTCAACTGGTCAAACCTGTTCTGGACCTATTCAGCCTCTGACAACTTGGTTTCAATTATCACACGCAAATAGGGAATTTCAACCTCGACCGGGAGCACTGCTTCCATGCCATAAATAAGAGAGAACAGGGTTGCCCCTGCTGAAGTGCAGACGGATGTACGATACCCATGCAAAGCAAAAGTGAGCATCTCATGTCAATCCTTATAGGTAACAACCATCTTCTGGATGATCTTCTTAATGTTTTTATTAACAGCTTCAACAGCCCCATTCATCTTAGGCCTGTAAGGAGACAAATTGTGATGGACAATCTTGAATTATTCACAAAGTTTTATCATCATCTTGTTATTCAAATTTGAGTCGTTATTAGTGATAATCTTATCTGGCACACCATACCGATATATAAGATGGTTCTTGATAAAACGCACTACCACCTGGTTGGTGACATTAGTATAAGAAGGTGTTTCCACCCACTTGGTGAAGTATTCAATTGCCACTAAGAAGAAACTATGTCCACTTAACACCTTGGGTTCAATCATTCCAATCATATCAATACCCCACATAGAAAAAGGCCATGGGAAAGAAATAACATTGAGAAGCGTTGGAGACACATGAATCTTGTCAACATAAATCTGACTTTTATGGCACTTCTTCGCAAATTTGTAGCAGTCAAATTCCATTGTTAGCCAATAGTATCCTGCCCTAAGCATTTTCTTTGCCATCAAATGTCCATTGGCATGGGTACCAAAATAAACTTCATGGATCTCATGCATCAACATGTTTGTTTCGTGTCTAACCACGCATCAAAGCAACACCATGTCATAATTTCTCTTGTATAACACATCTTCATTAAGGAAAAAACTACCTGTCAACCTTCTCAATGTATTTCTATCTTTGTTTGATGCACTAACCAAGTATTCTTGAGTCTAAAGGAAATGTTTGATATCATAATACCAAGGTTTTTCATCTGACGTCCCCTTTGTAGCAAACACATGAGCTGGTATATCAAGATGTCGAACTATAATTTGAGGCCCATCATTCAAAGCATTCACTTGATACATGGAAGCCAATGTGGCTAAAGCATCTGCCATCTGATTCTCATCTCTGGGAATGTGATGGAATTCAACTTTATTGAAGAAAGGTAATAATCTTTTTGCATAATCTTTATAAGGAATCAAGCCAATGTGACGAGTCTCCCATTCTCCTTTGATCTGATTTATTAACAAAGCTAAGTCACCATATACATCAAGAATTTTGATTTTGAGATCTATAGCCTCTTCAAGACCCATGATACAAGCTTCATACTCCGTCATGTTATTGGTAGAATCAAATTCCAGCTTTGTAGTGAAAGGGATATGTGACCCATGAGGAGTGATAATTACAATGCCAATTCCTTTTCCATAAGCATTTATAGCTCCATCAAACAACATATCCCATCGGGATTCAGGGTTAGGACCTTCCTCAGGCAAAGGTTCATCATAATCTTTTACTTTCAAAAACATCACATCCTCACCATACTTAACATACTGATAATCGTCTACCGGTTGGTGAGCAAGGTACTCTGCCAACACACTGCCTTTAATAGCCTTTTGAGTACGGTATTCAATATGATATTCAGACAATAACATCTGCCAGCGGGAAATTCTTTCAGTAAGAGCAGGCTTTTCAAAAATATACTTAATTGGATCCATTTTGGAAATCAATCAAGTAGTGTGATTCAACATATATTGTCGCAGTCGCTTTTCTGCCCAGGCCAAAGCACAACATATTTTTTTAGCATAGAATATTATGACTCACATTTAGTGAACTTCTTGCTGAGATGATAAATGGCATATTCTTTTCTTCCAGTTTCATCTTGCTATCCCAAAATACAGCCCATGGGGTTATCTTACACAATCAATGGTCTTCCTTCAACAGGAGGGAGCAAGATAGGGGGATTAAGAAGATACTCTTTAATGCTTTCAAATGCCCTTTGGCAACATCCGTCCATACACAATCTTGATCCTTCTTCAATAGCTTGAAGATTGGTTCACATGTTGCAGTCATATGGGAGATAAATCTGGAAATGTAATTCAAATATCCAAGGAAGCCTCTAACTTTCTTTTCAGTTCTTGGTGTAAGCATTTCCCGAATCGCCTTAACTTTATTAGGATTAACTTCAATTCTTTTTTGGCTGACAATGAAACCCAACAACTTTCCTGAACGAACTCCAAAAGTACACTTATTTGGATTCAAACAGAGACGATACTTTCTCAAACGCTGAAACAACATCAACAAGTCTTCTATGTGCCCTTCCTCAGTCTGAGATTTGGCGATCATATCATCAACATATACTTCAATTTCCTTATGCATCAAATCATGGAATAGGGTTGTCATAGCTCTCTAGTACGTTGCACCAACGTTCTTCAACCCGAAGAGCATCACTCTATAACAGAATGTGCCCCAGGGTGTGATAAACATTGTTTTTTCATGTCCTCAGGAGCCATCCTAATTTGATTGTATTTGGAAAATCCGTCCATGAATGAGAACACTTTGAATTTTATTGTGTTGTCAGCCAACATATCAATAGGTGGCAATGGAAAATCATCTTTCATACTTGCTTTATTAAAATCTTTATAATCAATCCACATGCAGACTTTTCCGTCTTTCTTTGATACTGGAACAATATTGGCAATCCACTGAGGATAGACTGATGTTACAAGAAAATTGAATTGTTAGTTAGCTGTTTCGAGTTTGATTTAATAATGAGTATGGTAAGACACAAAGCGGGGAGCCTGATATAGTCTCCTCATCACGTGGTCAGATATTGGCCACACGTCGCTCGCGGATGGTGAATTTAATGAGTTGCGTAGATTTTAATTATTTTATTTTGAATAATAAATCGATAGACGAGGTGTCGACCGATTTAATTACTCGAATATGGACATTCTATTATTTATAAAAATATTAAAATTAATTCAATTTTAAAATTTTTTGATTTATGTACAAGTTTAAGTTTATTTGATAAAAAAAATGTTTGATACAGAAGACAATGAGAGATTTGAATTAGTCGAGAGACTAAATAATCCACAAATTAATAAGTTAATAAACCTAATTAAACATTTACTCTAATTACTTAAACTAGACCAAAATAAAATTTACTAATTAAAATATCTAAGTAAATAAAACCTTAATTAGTTTTTATTTATTAATAAACTAAGAAATTAACAAGATAAAACATCTACACATTCCATATCTCTATTCCTCTTTTGACAATCTTAAACTTTCTCTTCCAATCTTATCAAATGAAATCCCTGAAGCAACGAAAAGAAACACCACAAAGGCAAAGGGAAAGGATCTGTACTCTGAGGGGTTGCACTGTCGGACGTTCGCGGAGGGACGGGGTGGTAGCGAAATCCAGTGGAATCGCGAACGACTGAAGGTTGGCGACATCGGAGGTCGCGGTTGAGCTTCGTATCGGTTGTCGATTGCAGATCCAATTGCGATTGAGGGAGCAGTGGTCAATCGTGGAGCTTCGTGGTGGCCGTGAGTGGGGTTGTCGCAGTTTGACAGGAGGGAGAGCTCCGAACGGAGCTGGCTTTGCATCATTCTTTCTTCTCCTTCCTTGATCAATTTTCTGTACGCCGTTGTTTGTTGTGAGGTTGATTGTGTGAAAGAAATCAAAGTGCTTTAAAATTTCAGATTTTCAATTTTTGCCCACAAACTGTTTGAGGATAATCCTGAACCAATTTTGCTTGATATTTTGAAGGTTGGACATGGTGTTTATGTAGATCTTAGAGTTGAAACTGAAACCTTGTGTCGTGAATTAGTGTAGTGTGAATTTGTGAATTTACATGTGTGTTTCTAATAGCTTGTGAATAATGGATATGTTGGTTACTCACTGATACAATATTCTACTGGTTGTGTATGGTTATAATTAGTAATTATAAATGAAGGTTGGTTTGAATTTTGATAAAAATTGTGAGTTTTGAAAGCATGAGTGTGTAGAAAATATATGTACTCAGTGAGTGATTTAGGTACATACAGCAATGCATGGCTTTGTGTGAAAAATAGGATCGGGGAAGCACGTGGGAGAAATTTTACTGTATGCAAATTGGCCTCCCAGTAAAGTATAATTTTATCAATAAACAACCATGTGGTATTAAAACAAATTGAAAATTTCTTTTAATAAAAATAAAAGAATTGAAAACGAGAATGGAAGATGAAAATCGTGAGGCGTACACATAGTGAATGAGGGTTTTTGTGGAATTGTGTAAAATGGCCTCTGTTATTGGTGTGTGAAATTGTGTGTAAGTGTTGGCCTCCTATTCAACTTCTTAATATGATAATAATTTTTTGGCTTAAATGCAGTTTTGACCCTCCTAGTTTAAGGTTTTTGGAGTTTCGATCCCCCTAGTTTAAAAGTCAGGTTTTTAGTCCCCATAGTTTTCAAATTTGGGATTTTTGAAGCCCCTCCATCTGGCTGCCCAAAAAGTTTTCAAATTTGGGATTTTTGAAGCCCCCTCCATGTGACATGGCACAGGGAGAGTAATGCCACGTATTATTTTCTTATTTCTTATTTAGAATAATATTTTTTAAACATTTAAATAAGTGATATTAATTTCCAAATGAATTTTTAATTTCATAATTCATATTTTCTGAAAATCCCAAATTGCTTAACCTAATTTCCTCTTCCATCCGCCCGTACGAGATTTCAAAAATCCCAAATTTGAAAACTTTTTGGGCAGCCAGATGGAGGGGGGCTTCAAAAATCCCAAATTTGAAAACTATGGGGACTAGAAACCCGGCTTTTAAACTAGGGGATCGAAACTCCAAAAACCTTAAACTAGGGGGGTCAAAACTGCATTTAAGCCTAATTTTTTAGAAGAAAAATATAACCATCAGAATCATCGTCCGGTTAAAACAACAATAAATTAAAATTAAAAAGAAGTTGAAAATAGTTTTGAATTGAGATTTTAAAAAGAAATTGCAACAGTGAAAGTTGAAAAATGTGATGTGCAAAAGTGAGTTGTGAATTTGTGTGAAATTGTTTATTTTTGTTGATAATCGATGAAAAACTAAGACAAATCGAGTCCTATTTATAGACTTAGAATTAGGTTAAAAATAGTTTAGGAAATAAGTTATCCAGAAAAAAATATTTTAAAGTACAACACATGAGATTTGAACCTACAACCTCATACTTGCAAGTTTCATTCTTCACCAATTGTGTTATGTTATTTATTTGAAATAAAGCCAATTTAAATCATATGAAAGGTAAACAAGTATTTGTCATTTAAAAAATATAAATAATTTGAAATAAATTATTATATTTCTATAAATGAGCGAAATGAATTATTGTTAAAATGTTAGTAAAATTAAACCAATTTTTTTTATAAAAATCAAATGTTAAAAATATTTTTGACCGTAGAAATAAGGGACGAGCAAATTTGGGATATGACAATGGAAGGTTTAACATTGTAACTTTTATCGTTTGAATATGTTGTAGCAACAGCTGGTGTGAGTTCAATCATTGTGTTTCTTCAACGAAAAACTCGTATGGATCTTTATCTGATACGGTTAAGTGTTTGATAACTATCAATACCAGAACCAGAACTCTGGTGCCAATTGAAGGTGTCAGAAACACAAGAAAAGGGGGGATTTTAATTGTGTTTCACCAAATTAAATCTTTTTGTTGGTGACATAACAAGTTAGCTTAGAACAAACAGTAAATGAACACGATTATTTTTATCCTGGTTCGCTTTTAACTAAGCTACTACAGTTCACCCCCTCAAAGACCCGCCTTCAACAAGGACTTAATCCACTATAACTAAACTGATTACAGAACAATCCACAATAAGTCTGATCAACCTTATTGACACCCTGTTGGCTCCTAAATTCGACACCCTTGTTTGTTATCATATAGACCATTAATTATGAGTCAGAAGAGTTTCCTACATAAGAAGGCTCCGACCCGCTGATCATGTCGAAGGCTCATCAAAGAATGACAAGATACCTAGAGAAATTCCTTTAAGTGGGAATCTTGTTGTCTTCGACGTCAAAGGAACCTCTCGACAAAGGTACCTGATGCCCAAGGTCGAACGGTTTGAGATTTGAATTGTTGGAGGAAAAACGGTTCCCAGCAATTACCAAGTGCAACGTGCCGAGAACAGAAGCGTCGAAGGCTGTGAGCGTGCCATGTGGCGTCATCTCGAAGCAGCGTAACTGCCCAGCGGTTACTTAGGATTTGTTTTAGTATAAATACTAGTTGTTCACGTAGTTTTCGTGTGTGTTCATCATCTTATACAAGTCACTCATTTAGATTCAAGTACCCAGCGTGAGAGAAAGAATCATTAAGAATGTATGTGTGAAACACCATTTAAATTAATCAAAGTCTTTTATATTCAAGCAATTTATCGCTTTTCATTTACTTATCTCCGTCAAAGCCTTTTACTTAACGCTTTTATTTATTCTATCAAGCTTTTCTTCATGCAATTTACTTAAAGTTCTTTACTTTACTGGCATTAATCACCATTAGGATTAGTCAAACTCCAAAAAACCAACCATGTCTTAGGATCAATCTGATCGATCCTGCTAGTCACCAAATAAGTAACCTTTTGGAAGATCAGCGGTTGTTTACCAATTTTCACGATAAACAAATTGGCACGCCCAGTGGGACTTTGTGTTGATTTTTACGATTAACCGTTTTATATAAAATATCCTCCTTTTTCGAGAGTATTGCATGTTATTGAGAAGTGGTAGAATATACACCAACGAAACCAATACTAGGAGAAGAAGTGAAGAGATGGCGAATCCGCCAAACAATGGAGAAATCCCACAAACAAACGTGGGAGCAATGGTTATCCCAACCGTAAGTGAAGTGGTAACCGCTGGTTCAACGCCAGCAGTAACTGTTACACAAACGGGGCCATTACCTCCATTTACAGACTCCAAAATGCCTTTGGGAACTCCCCCACCAAGGGGAAACCAAGGAACTAGGCCATATGTTCCCCCAGGTTTTTCGACAGCCGGTTTAAATCGAGAACCACTCTATGGCATGCCAACTTCTGAATTGGCTAGCCTGACGAATGCTACGTCCACTTTTTCAGACCCTTTAGTGAGCGTCTCTTCGCCACTCCAAGGCTCTGGGGTTGGTATGGCGAACAGGGGTAGGACCTAACTCTTAGGAGGAACGTCCCAAGTAATGCATGGCCTTACGAATGCCTCGACAACAGTCTTGAGGCAGCAAATGGACGAAAGCAACCACGACATGGTTCAAATGTTGGCGCAAACTTTAAGCACAGTGCTAAATCCTCTAATACTGAATACCACCCAGTCGAATCAGCAAATGACAGCGCAAATGTCGCGTCTGGCTGACTTTTTTGGGGTACCCCAACCGATTCGGCAGCCCCAAAGGGCACAGATAAGGGGAAACCAAGGTATACTTATAGAGGAAGAAACCACTATTAACCAAGTCCAGCAGCCTGTAGAAGAAAACCTTAGGGTACGAATGGAACAACTCAGGGTCAAAGAGCCTAGAGTCATAGCCCCGGAAGTAAGGATGGTTAATAGAAACCAAAACGCTGACGAAGTAGTTCAGCAGATCCAATACCAGAATATTAGTTTAGAAAATAACTTGACGGCCATGATTGAAAGAATCATGATGCAAAATGGGATGAATACGGGCTTCCGTAGGCCCAACTTTACATCCCCGCTGTCAGAATATGTGTTACAAACAGACTTGCCTCCTAGATGCAAAGTCCCTAAGTTCACTAAGTTTTCAGGGGACACGACAGAATCCACTGTCGAACATGTGGCAAGATACTTGATCGAAGAAGGAGAGATTTCAAACAATGAGAACCTGAGGATTAAGTATTTCTCAAGTTCCCTAACAAAGAATGCGTTTACTTGGTTCACAACTCTCTCCCCCAATTCGATCCACCATTGAACCCAGTTGGAGAGATTATTCCATGAGCAATTCTACATGGGACAAACCAAGATAAGCCTGAAAGAGTTGGCCAGTGTGAAGAGGAGAATATTTAAATAGGTTTAGGTTGCTCAAGGCAAGATGCTTTATGCAAGTGCCTGAACATGAGTTAGTCGAAATAGCCACAGGAGGTCTAGATTACTCCATTAGGAAGAAATTAGACACTCAATACCTGAGAGACATGGCCCAATTGGCCGATAGGGTTCGACAGGTAGAACGCCTTAAAGCTAAAAAAGCCAGGGCGACAAAAACTCATAAAAGAGAAAGGATAGTGTATGTCGAAATGGACGATGAAGATCGAGAAACATTTGACGAACCTATAACCGTCGAAGAAAGTGAGGTTGATTTAGCTGAATTAAAACAAGGGCCACCATACTCTTGCAAACTACTAGTCCCCTCAAGTGGAAAAAACCCCACTGGTCCTGAAAGGGCCAATGATAGGTTCCCTAAAAAGACTTACAGTTTTGATATTACAAAATGTGATGAAGTTTTTGACTTACTTGTAAAAGATGGTCAAATGATAATACCCCCAGGGGTAAAAGTGCCTCCTCTTGATCAAAGAAAGAAAAGAGGCTTTTGTAAATATCATAATTTTCTAGGCCATAAAACATCTCAATGTTTTCTT